CTTTTTTTCTATAGTTAATAGTTACTGAAATAGAGCCCTGCTGTTTTGTCAGGGCCTTTTCTTTAAATATAATTTTAAAATGTCGATACAGTAGCCCCTTTTTTTAAATGTCTATGCTTAAGTTTTTACAGGTGTTGCTATCTGCTTTGTGTAGCCTGGTTCTACAAGCAAGTCAGTGCATTCATGGGGTGGTATCAGAGAGTTACTCTCTGATACCACCCCATGAATGCACTGACTTGCTTGTAGAACCAGGCTACACAAAGCAGATAGCAACACCTGTAAAAACTTAAGCATAGACATTTANAACGGCAGCTCTCGGAGAGTACGGAACATTGAGCGGCCCGGCCGACTCCGTCCCTGTTAACCACCCCCTGGGCGGTGCCAGCACGACCCAGGGCGGGACACAGTTCGACCCTGGTGCCAGCACCGCCGGGTCGGCGCCCGTGTCCCCCGGGGGCACGACACAGTTCGACCCCGAGGGTTGACTGAGTGGTACCAGAGTGGTTGCGCCTCCCTACAGGACCCGACTGATAACTTCCTCCTGCGGTGCTAGCCGTCGGCGGAGGCTTTTGGCGGTAAAGCGGGAACAATGCCCGCACGCGCCGGGGGTGTCGATAGCCTCCTGGGCATGTTGCAGCCCGAGGCAAGACGAGCAGACCTGGTGTGAGTCAGTACTCGATATCTTTAGCCCGCAGCCGCAGAGCCGAGCCTCCGACACTCCGTCTCCTCTGGTGTGAGGGAGGGAAGAGTCCATCCTAGCTAGCCTTGGTGCGGCGTAGAAGGGACAAACGAGCAACAGGCGTGTTACCGTTTGTGGGAAAAAAATCCAAAACCTTACCGTTATCCGTTGGAAAAAAACGGCAGGGTAGATTCTGATATTAACTGGAGTGTTAATAAAGAGAATTCCCGTGCGAAGCAAAAGTAGCTGGCGAGCGCCCGTCGACCGAAGGTTAGCTTCGTAAATCAGTCTGTGGACCGTTAAGCTAGCTAGCTACTGATCTTTCTCGAGATGTGCTCCGAAGCGAGAAGAGGTGTTTGAATGACGCCTGCGTCGTGGTGCAAGCTACTTATAGGGTTGGTGGATTCCCTGACGTTGGCGTCAAGATCACCAGCCAATCAGGATTGGCGTAATGAGATTGATGCTTCTGGTGCATACGCGTTGAGGCGCATCCCATAGTGAGACATCGAACGGAGTGTTATGAATGAGAACAGTGTTTGCAGTTATGAATATAAAAAAAAATATGTATAGGTTTAACAGTTACAGCTTAAGTAAAATAATTTACAAGTTAGGGAATTCATTGTCCCTCAAAAACTCTTCTGTACTGAAAGAATAGTAAACCAGCAAACATTAACTATATGTGTTTGTCTGTGTAATTGATATATTCAATAAGGGCAAAACTAACAGTTAGAAAATGATTAACACTATTTGTTTTCCCTTCACAACAACACAATGTTACATCTCGCTGTCAACAAACGAAACACAGTCATTCTGACACAGTTAGTTCTGTGTTACCTTCACATCGTGGCAGTGGGTGATTCCAGTTCCTGCTGATTCCGTGTAAACATGTGAGCGACGCCTCGCCGATCAGAGAGTATCCGGGCAGACATTCAAACGACACCGTCATCCCTACGCTGAAATCTGTGCCAATCACGATGCCATTTCGAAAAGGCCGAGGGTCTGGACAACTCTGAAGCTGGTAGGCTGGAGACACAATAACCAAGATTAGGCCGAAAACTAGCACAACTAAAAACAAACAAGGTCAAGTTTGTTCAGGGAAAGGAATAACAAAGACATCAGTTCTAGCACTGAACAACTAATATTCCTAAAAGACTAACTCGTAATTCCTCCGCCTGTTCTTCCAGCTGCAGATATCTCATGCAGGACACAGAAAATAACAGCTGCAGATCTCTAGACACAAATTAAGATTACTAACTTTTTGAAAAGGGTGTCATGCACCAAACAAGCTCATACTTGTTCTTTTGATGTTGTCAACATTCTCCCAATTTAAATCTGACAGTATGCCATATAACTGTTTTCGTCCCAGTGAATGTTGACAGACAAAGTAAGATGAGTCAAGTGTTTGCATGACTGAAGAAAGACAAGTGAGTGAGAAAGAAACACGTTAGAAGAAATAATAGTATTCAGATTATTTTTCCTGTTTTAAAACACCTTGGCAGTGCCCCTGTCACGAGATAAAAGGTATTATTCATGAGTCACTGGAATTTGCACATAAATGGAATTAGCCGTAACACATTGAGGCTATCTAGGAGATATGTCATAATAAAAATACAAGCCTGCTGAAAAACCTTTTTAGTGTCAGATAGATTAAATAGAAAACTCATCTCATCACCAAAAAATCATTCAAAATGAGTTTTCGACACCCTGCCTTTTTTTGGCAAGTGCTTTAGAAGTCAAGAAATGTTTTATTGTAGCCTGCAAAAAGGAAATCATTTTATTCTCAGACACCTCCTTGGAAATAAAGTAAATAAATAAGTCAACAGTTTCCACTTGAGGAACAATCGCTGTTTTCAACAAAGCGCAGCCATCAGACAGTGGCTCTTGTTTTCTCGATGAGTGCACACAAGATGTCCGACGAGAGCGTGTAGAGACAACCTTTACCTTGATATGTGATGTGGAACCCTGGCTTGTTTTGTGAGTAGTCGCTGTGGAAGAAGAAGCTGGTCTGGTGGGTGGTGCTGAACAGAGACTTGGGGGTGACCGGGCCGCTGAACCGGTCGATCACCGAGCCCATCTCCAGGGTTCCACTGCGGATCTCCAAGTAATCGTGGATCGCTTCGGTGGAGAAGTTTAGAAACGCAAGGTGGATTCCTGAGAGAAATGTTGACATTTGAAGCGATTAGCAAAGCCTGACTGGCAGAGGAACCGGCAATAAAAACATTTGTAGATGCTTCAGCAGCAACCAACGACGTGAATAAAGGCCACCGATAATGATTTATTGAGTGAGTAATTAAATACAATTAACAATAAATACTATTGTTACATGAAGGGTGATACATATACAACTGAAAGAGAACAACACACACTTTTTCCTCAACTTCAAAGTTGAGAGTGTTTCTTACCAAAGCCCACAGGTAAGTTGACTGTCCATGTGCAGTCTAATCCACTGGGGTAGTTGCCGGGGAAACCAGGACTTAAAATCACTCCACTTACTTCTTTCCTAGACCCACCACACTGAGCTGGGGGCACACACACACACACACACACACACACACACACACACACACACACACACACAGAGAAAAAGGGAAACAGAGGTTCAGTGTTGAAAGCAACACATCAAAGGCTGGAGGCTGACCTCAGACCAGCTCACACAGACTGCCTCTCCCTTTTTTAGGATGCTGCTGCTGACTGGACACATGAGATTCTTCAACCTGATAGTTTGCATCATTTTGAATAACACATTAATATTCTGAGTCTTCAATAAATACCCTTCTTGAATAAATTACCATTGTGCAAGTAGAAATGTGTCCAGGGCTTGTTTTCCCCAGTTTGCCTCAGTGCATGCTGATGCTTTGGCACACTGCATGTTTATGGCAGACTCTGCCTCAGCTTTGCATCAGTTTAAAAGCTTAATCGTATTCTGCACAGAATACTAAATAATCAGCTCATCACAGAACAGCAAATTGATCAAACGTCCTATTTTACAAAGAGTCAGGGTAGGCAACGGAGACAGCTTGCATCATTACTGCAGCACGGAAGTTCTGCACGTATCTCAGAATATCCAGGCTGCATGTATGTGTGTGTGTGTGTGTGTGTGTGTGTGTGTGTGTGTGTGTGTGTGTGTGTGTGTGTGTGTGTGTGTGTGTGTGTGTGTGTGTGTGTGCACATATGTATTGTGTAAACACCTACCGAGACATAGTGGCACAGGGTAGTTCCATCTTCTCACAGGTCCAGGCATGCAGGTGATATGAGCATTGCCCTAGAAATGTGAAAGCAAACACAATCAATTAATGGTAAACATAAATTAAGTGCTGTTTATCTACAGAGCAATAATGAGTATGAGTACAGTAGTGCTGTATCTCAAGCGGGATAAAGGTAAAGCTCCATTTGAGTTGTATACAGTCCTCCAAAGAAATTGGGCATACCACACCAGAAGCATACATTATTAAAGAGTTGTGCAGACCGCACTAGAGTTGTATGTTTAGTAGGAAGTAGAGTAAACCATCCGAGAGTGGGGTTTTCTTCCGATTTACCATTTACCATTGTGCAGCCGTGAGATAAAAAGAGTGAATAGCCCTTAATGAATTTCACAAACATGGCAGTGTGTTATGCATTAAACAACAGTAATCTGTAGTGCATGTGTGTGTTCTATGTATCTATAATGACTATCCTTCAGTTCCTCAGTAGCTAGCGGGAATCTGTGCATAAAACAAACAAAAAATGTTTTACCTGAAGAGAGTATCCTTGTTCACATAAAAACTGTACGACGTCTCCCACCATAAATCGGTCTCCTTGCCTTATTCCATAGTTTGGCGTCTGTGGCTCGGAACATGACTCCAGACCAATAGCTGATAAGAAATGTGTAATAAACACGGTTGTAAAACGTTCACTCCTTTGTATGTTAATACAGCATATGCTGCAGATACATCTGTATACAAAACAAGTATGCTACCTGTATATTCCAAGTGAAAACCAGCAGCTGAGACACTTATATCCGAGCTGAAGCTTAGATGGAGGTTGTTAGATGTGCTATTCAGGAGAGGGGGAATAGTCGTGCCTGGAACGAAGAACATGATCACATTTTTACATTTTTCAACCGAGCCTTGAAAGCAAATTATATTAGTTATCTGACAGCAAAGGAAACAACAAAGGCCTCCCAAATCTACATTTTCATATTTTGTTGTGTGTGTAGTGTTCTCAAAGGAGAGAAAAGGGAATTACTTTTATATGAGACATCTGTTTTATTCAAAACTACTTTTCAAATTGTTGCTTGACCTACATAGCACGGCAAGGGAAAGTACAAAGTGAAGAATGGATGCTGCACTACTGAAGTAAAGCTGGCACCATGCAACAGTGTGGTTCTGTCACAATGAGACAGTAGATGCTGCACTCTATTGTAAAGGAATATTAACCTTCACAAAAGTCCTTGGAAATGTAATTTCTTGGCTAGCCTGAAGACTATAAAGTAGTAAAAGTATTTCCGAAAGTAGCCACTAGTGGAACATTTCTCAGAGCCCAGTTTTCACTGTTATGTTTTTTGTTATGTGGCAAAACATATCAAAGTCAAGAAGATACTGTAGAACTCTGAATTAGAAGTAATTCAGGCCAATGGATGTTATTGGTTGCCTGTTGCGAGGGGGCAATTTTACATCGTAGCCATCTGGTCATATTCCAGAAAAACTCTTGTTCATCATCAGGAAATACAAATAAACGGTAATAAATGATGAATGATGATGAATAATTAGCTGCGCAGATTGAAGCATTACACAGATCATTTGTGGATTCACGACAATATTAGATAACACTTAAAACATAAAAAAAAGTGCATTATCATCATTTATATACTGAAGAGATATAAAGAAGAACTCTGTCGTTTCCTTGCCAACACTATCATCTCTTATCCAGTTTGCCGTGGGGATGTCAGGCCCTGCCATAGATTATTTAACAAAACCCGCAGATTATCATGACTTTGCTCTCCTAAAAGCAGTACTAATACCCCCAGAAGATGCTGACTCCAACTTTGGACGGCTGCTTAAACTACAAGAGTTACTGAATTTAGAGGATATCATTAAATATGAGTTTCTGGAGCACTGGAGCAGAGGGACTCCCATTGTACTAAGCGCCAATATTTGTAAGAGACACATTTCGTTTTTTAATATAAGATCAGTAGAGAAATATTTTCCACTAGATGTTTCATTGCCTGTATTTAGTTGTAAATATCAAACATGCCTTGATAACCATTGGTTTCCAATTACATTGATTAAGCTAACAACGTTCTGAAATACATTTTGAGAGCTTTTAGAAATGTGAATGATTGTATTGTTGTTTACATTTCTATGTTTGACACATCATGTCATAGGTTGCTCAGGGTGTATCTATTCTGAATGGGGATTAGAGTCATTTAGGATCAATTTGCTATGCCACAACATTTCTCATATGTCTTTAAAGGAATCACAGACAACAAGCAGGTGTCAGTGGGTGTGTTCCCGCCTCCTGCAGCAAGTAGTGATGGGAATTCCAGCTCTTCTTGGTGAGCCGGATCATTTGGCTCGGCTCACCAAGAAGAGCCGGCTCTTTCGGCTCCCAAACGGCTCTTCAGTTTACCACATATTAAATCAAATGTAGCCCTGTTTTGACTAATGATTTATATGTGTACACATATATCACTTAAATTATTCAATACATCCTTTGTACTGAAGTATTCAAAAGTAAAAATTACATTGCATTTACAGACCCTTGTAACTCTCTGATACCACCCCATGAATGCACTGACTTGCTTGTAGAACCAGGCTACACAAAACATATAGCAACACCTATAAAAACTA